TATACAAATATAGATCAAATATGGTCTGGAATCTGATAGAATGATAGGTTAAAAAAGAAATAGAAAACGTTTATAAATCTCAACACACACATACACTCATACACATACAGGGGAAAAAATAAACAAACTAGAATTATGATACACATACACACATGAAATATACTCACAAATGCTGCTTGACAAGATAGGTACATGTAAGGTCTGCTTAACCAATGAAAATCAATTTACACAAAAATTAAAAATAACGGAATTTTCATTTTCCTCTCCATAATTCATTCTCTGATGAAGCTTTAATAAAAGTTAGAGATGTTAGATTTATAAATGTTTCCTATTTGTTCTTTATCCTATGATACATATACATAATATCTCTCTCTCTCTCTTTATCTATCTATATATATATATATATATGTATATAGGGTGCGATGCATAAATTGTCATCTAAATTACCCAAAAAATGAAAATAATACTGACATCTCATTTTAACAGATATATTTACCAAAATTACACAAAAATGTACTAGAGAGTAAATTTATTCAATAAAACAGCCATTGACTGCAACCATAGCCTCCAGATGAGTTCAGGATCTCCCACAATTCTTCTGGGTGGTCTCCTTGTTTAAGTTGGTGAATACTGCCATAATCCTTGCCTTCAGGTCATCTTTTGTGTTACAAGCAGTTTTGTTAGTCGTTTGCTCAACTGAGCCCTACAGATAGTAATCAAGAAAGTTGCAGTCTGGGGAGTTAGGTGACCAGATGTAAGGGGTGATATGGTTGCAGAAATTGACTGTGTTCTCCTGTATGTGTGGCATGCTTCAGTAAACACCCACTTGACCCAGGTCAGCACTATCACCTCAAGGCACTTGATGTAGGTCTCCCATTGTACCCTGTATATACATAATGATATATAACACACACCCACATATATATATACACACACACACACACACACACATATACACACATATACACACAAACACACACATATATATATATATACACACACACATATGCACACAAACACACACACCACACACATATATATATATATATAGAGGGAAAGAGAGAGAAAGTGAGAGAGAAAAAGAGAGAGAGAGAATCAATATTCTTAATTCTTTATTCATTTATCATCAAAAAATAAATCTCTTAAAATAAAATTAAATAAATTAAATCTTTACCACACTGGAGGAATTTAAAATGTTTATCTTGCTGCTGACCATGAATAAATTTAACTTTGTGGTTGTGTTGTCATCTCCTGCTACAGCTACAAGAAAATGACCTTAACAGAAATCAAGGACTACATACCTGTGGTTGAAGAGTTCACATCAGCAAGAGAAAGGAAGCTAATGCTGTCAATAGTTTAATAACAATACTCCCAAACATTTTTTAAAATTAAAAAAATGATTCCTCTGATGTTTTTAACTGATAAGATTTAATTTGTTTTGTCAAAAAATCTCATGAGCTTCGTACATTTGAAGGAAGCAGATATTTGTAAATAAATTCTTGTATGTAAACAATTATAAATGAAGCAAGATGCTGCTTTTAACCAAATAGAAAAGCTTGCTATGGAAACAGTCATATAATAACATTACTTGCTTTATTATAATATCATCAACTTTATTTAAAGAAGTCTTTTGCATGCATTTTACTTTTTTCTGTGTCATCAATGTATGATGTCCACTGAAGTTAAAAGAAGGAGAAGAAAATCCAGTTAGTCTTCAAGTCAAGTAGTCCAATGAATTGAGCTGGAAAATGAAGTGAAGAGTCTGAAGTTGCATAGATGGGAAATCAACTTGATTTAGTGTCGAATGTGAAGACTATATAAAAGACAAAGACAGATTGTCAATTCAGATACAAGTGAACTGGGAAAATTTGAACAAATTTAAAATCATAGAAATAAAAGAGAGACGATTTCATAGCTTTCATAATATCAAATTAAGATTATAAATACTTTATCTGGAAGATAACTGCTATTTAATTGGTTTTAATGAAGCAATGGGTCAGTCTATTTATCTCCCTATCTATCTATCTCTCTGCCAACTTCTTGTCTCTTTATATATTTCTCTCTCTCTTTGTCTATATCAGAGTTGGTTCATATTTCTCCCAGTTCACATCACAGACTGTTCGCATTAACCTATCTATCTACATATCTATCAATTTTGTTCTACCATTCTTTAAATTTGTTTTCTCAAGATATTTCTTTCTTTTTTCTTTTTGTCTTTGTTTCTTTCACTCTTTCTTTCTAAAGCTTTTTCTATCATTTTATCTATATTTCTTCTTTAATCTATTCATATTTGTTTCTATCTCATTTTCTTTTGTAAATTTGTTTGTACCTATCATACCTTTCTTTCTCTCTTTCTTTCTTTCTTTCATTCATTCTAAAGCTTTTTATATCTTTTATCGATATTTGTTTTAAATATCTATCTATCTATCTATCTATCTATCTATCTATCTATCTATCTATCTATCTATCTATCTATCTATCTATCTATTTATGTACATTGATATATAAACATTTATATTAGATATATACAAAAATTCCCAGCATTTTTTTTTAAAATAAGTACAATTTTACTGAATATTCAGTTCTATTTTTCAAAAAAGAGGATTTTGGTAACTTTTGTACACACTCAATAAATATATATATATAAGGCAGGATGTGTGTGTGTGTGTGTGTGTGTGTGTGTGTGTGTGTGTGTAATAAATGCATGGCCGCAATTTTTGATGGATTTGCACCAAAATTTACATGCACATACTCCAAGTTAGCGGAAAGGCCAAAACTGACATTGCATTTCCCAACTCCCATCAATAGTGGAAATAATCGATTTTTTCATGCTTCTATGCCAGTTTTCATGTAGTTTGCGGTCATTTTCTACTGGCCAGAGTGAGAGCCTATAGCTGGCTGCCCTGAATAGGCAGCAAGATTCTATTGGCCAGCGTGAGAGCCAACAGCTGACTGACAGAAATGTTAACTAGCATGCTAGCATGCAAAAAAAATCGATAGCTGCATTCGTCACAAGTGGGAAAAATTTAAATCTGCATGGCACTTTACTCCAATTGGCACATTCGCTTGTTTAAACTCAATGTTGATTCTGATTCTGCAGAACTGGGTTGGATGTGAAAACGTATTTGTTGTTAACATTCTTTTTTCATTCGATTTTTCCAGTTACAAGTCCTTTTTTTAAAGCTGATCGTTTTGTGTTCATTTTGTTTAGTTCTTTTTTTGTAACAGATTTAATGTTTAGTATAGAGCTTAGAAAAAATTTGCAGTGTGAGATAGGCAAGAAGTAAGTCATGTAGCAACATCAGCATGGCAAAGGGCACTCCTTTAAAGGCAAGGAAGGGCAAAAATATTTTAAGTCAAGTGATAGCGATTGCTGTATGAGTTGTACAATTTTTTAATCAAGCATGGTCAACGCTGGGCCATGCTGCTAGTATATATATATATATATATATATACATATATATATATCATTATAGTTATAGTTTAATAAATAAATATCTAGAAAAATGTTTAATTTTTACTTTTCCAACATGAACTTTTTTGCATACATTTAGGCAACAAAGACAATTTTAAAATGATTCAGCTTTCTGACATCATCTTTCCTTTGAGCTCAAATCACAAAATAAGTATAATTTTAATTTTGGACATAATTTTTTAAAATTAACTTCTACTTCTCATTTTTGTGGACTGGCACTGCAGAATCAGAAACAAAGAAGTGTATCAAATAACAGAAACCACACCACTTGAGGAGTACCAACAGCAGTAATAACTAAAATGTATATCACATGTAACTCAAAGAGAAAGTAATGACATAATCAATATGTTGACATTCCACAGCACTTCAAATAGAATGTTAAGAAGAAAAAACCGTCAACACTGGAAAGAGCAATAACAGCTACTGAACTTGAGAAAGCTATTTTCTTAAAAAAATTGTTTTCAGAGAAAAATTTTATAACTTCAATTGACATACTGGTCAAAAAATGCTGAATGTTTCTTAATAAAGAAGCAGCTAATATTACCATTATACATTGCTATTTTTTATTCCATATCTATCATACAGTAAAGACTGTAATAGTCTTCCAGGTCCAGTGTGTTTGTAGCACCAAAAATAAAGTAATTGCCAATAGGTTTACATGAGCAGCCATATTTTCTCCTCAAAACATTTTTTGCTTCAGGTTTTGAGATTCCTTACTAGAATCTATGAATAAAGCTGTTATAAATGTTATGTTATTCAAATTTATTCTTTGCTTAATTTCATTCCCTTCAAGAGAAATGGCTTCTTTATTGAATACATTGAACGGAAGAGAAAACCATACATCTAACTATCAATCTTTAGATGTGCAGATAGCATAACGGTTCATAGCATAGGCATTAGAAATGACAAGCCAAGTTCAAATTCTGGCCTAGTCTGTTGCATTCACTTTCGCACTAATACTCTTGGAAAAGGCATGAATTCATCTCTTTCTTAGCCTCCTCTGCTCTGAGTTAGATAGAAGGGTAGACTGGGCTGTCTAGACTTGGGTGACAGTCAGCCTAGGAAAAAAAAAAACTACTCTGAATTCAAAACTGTGTTGATGGCAATGGAAAACCATTTTACTTTCTTTCCCAAGAAGTCATGACAGTTCAGGGACATTGAATGAAAAAGAAACTTGTAGAGAGCCACGATTATCTATATCCAGAAAGAAAATGACATTAAAAATTCAATCTTAATAAGTTAGGTGGACAATATGTTATTATTTAACTGTTTCTGTTTAGCCACATATCAACCTCTAAAGGTAATTTAATGCTGAAATCTGGATATTTTGTATGCAGTTTTTTTTTTTTAGATAATAATTAGTGATACAAGTCTTACTAATTAACCTTTACCTAGGGGTGGAAAGACAAGATGGATTCATACCTTTTCCAAGAGTATTTGACCGTAAGTGAATGTAATGAACCTGCCTGGAATCTTTGATTAACAATTCTGAGCCATTATCCATTAAACCACCTGCACATCCAAGCTTACAGTACCTATTATTCCCAAGCAGTCACCCATCTAGGTACTAACCAGGCATGAAATTGCTTAACTTTGGTGATTGTACTGTAACCTGTGTTTCAATGTGATATGACCATAAGCCAAACAGTAAGTTAGGTAGAGAATTATTAATAAAATTTTTTCTTACCTATATAATAATCCTTTTGATTTAATGCTATACAATTTCATTTTAATAAGCACAAAGTTATTTATATTTAATCTAAGCATACACCAGTTAATACATCTTGTGATTACAGAAGACTTAATAAATAATCCAACTTATACCTTGTCTTTTACCAGATGTTTTTCATATTAGTTTGCAGAGCACAGATTGTCATTTGAGAGTGCTTGAGACTCTTTATATTAAGTCTAGGCAGCCTTCCTTTTGTAAGAAAAAGGAATGGTTGCTGGGTATAAATGTAATCTGTCTGTGATTTATACTTTTGATACTCTGATAGTATTTTCTTCCTTTCCCTATTTCTTTAGTCATTGTGAACATATTTATATGTTTTGTCCTTGGTTGAGCTCTGAAGAACAATTGAGGGTTAACTTTATTTGTTGTTTTTTTTTAGTTATTATTTTTTTGATCCACCACATTTTGGTGAGAACTATTTCTTCCTAATCCTTGCTCTTTATCCCCCTTTGTTTTATATATTTCATATATAAATCATAGATATAAAAAATATATTTCATATATATAATAACACATATATATATTTCATATATATTAATATATATTTAATTAAAATGTCCATTTATAAAGTCCTAAAAAAGTTTTTTACCCCAAAAGATTACTTAACCAGAAAGTGTGAAAATATGGTATATAGGTTCACCTCCAAATCCCTTGATGCCAGAACTTGGCAGCTGATCTCTCCTCTGACTTAGCTCTAACAGCTCAGCGGGAAAAAACTGACTTGTCACATTCTATGCCTCAAATAACAAACTAGTGATCTTCAACCATTGCCGATCAGACCAAGAAATTTCACCAATCATGATGAATGGATGTTTCCTCAGGAATGCCCTTTGAGTATCTATTTGGACATAAACTCCTCAGATCTCAAGTGAAACTCATACATAGTAATTCATCACAAAAAGTACTGAAAAATATTCAGTTCTTTGTACCACTCCAGCAAGTACATCACTCCTCCTGCTATCCTCAAGAGCCAGATCAATGGCAAACAGAACCTGATTATTTATGGGATAACTTGACATTAGTAATTTAATTAATCATTTTTATGGCATATTTTTAAAAATCTATTATGCTTAATGGTTTAAAATGGCTGTAATCAAGCCTAACTGCCCTAACAAAGATGATCCTTCTTTGAACATTGTGGACTGGCACCATAAGATGACAAAAATCATCCAATGAAAACTGTACAGGAAGCAATGTTGTTTATATTTATAAACATCTAAAATTATTTTCATACTGAAGTTGCTTTTTTAAAACTTTACAAAACAAAAAATATGATGTAGAATTGGAAATAAAGCAGTGATGACACCTACCCTGAATCCATCATAAAAATTCAGGATGTGGAATTATTAAATACTAAACACTTCAAATACCTTGGGGTATGGATAAGTTATAACAAATTTAGTATAAGAGAAAAGGAAATTGAACAGAGAATAGGCTGCACCAGAGGTAGTTTCACCCAACACTGCAAATTGCTACAAAACCAAAATATCATCCTGAAGACTTGAATCATGTTTGTAAATAGTTTTGTCAGTTCAAGACTTTCATATGGATGCCATACATGGTACAAAACCTATTCAGAAATATCTAAAGTGGCACCTATATACAACTGCTTTCTAAGATCAATGTTTAAAAATTGTTTTGAGAAAGTGAAGCCTGAAAGTCTTGGCAAAGACAATCCTCCTTTGGACATTGTTGACTGGTGGATCAGAATCACAAATAGAGAACTCCACCAAATAATAGAAATCATATCACTTTAGGACTATCAACAGCAGCAACTACTAAAATGGATAGTGCTTGTAACTTGGAAGAGAAAATAATGACATAATCAAGATACAGACATTTTACACTTCTTCAAATAAAGGGTAAAGAAGGAAAACATCCGTCAATAATGGAAAAAGAGATAACAGACTTGAGAAAGCTATTTTACTGAAAAATTGTTTTAAGAGAAAGATTTTATAAATTTCAACTGAAAAAATTGTTAGCTGCTCAGTCAATGACTGCTAAATGCTTCTATGTAAGGAAATGGTTAATATTGCTATTATCGCTGTTTCTTTTTCTAGAAACATATGAGATAAACTGTTCTATTCGTTTTCACAAATGGTTTCATAAGGAGTTTTGTTGGACTCAATATAATTAGCACAAATTTTATGATAATATCTAAGAAAAGATTATTCAATAAATTCACTATTGGCTTCAACCAGGGTCTTCAGATGACTTTTGAATCTCCTGCATCTCTTCTGGATTGTCTCCTTGTCTAATTTGGTGAATGCTACCATAATCCTTGCATTTAGTTCATCTTTTCATTAAGTGAGTGTCAAAATAGTTTGTAGTATTTATTGTCACAAGCACTTTTGGCCACTTCTCTAACCATATTATTTATCAATACTTTTCTATCATGCTGAGCATTGTTTGACATCATTGTGATATCTTCAGTCAAAAAAAGAAGAGAAAACTGTTATATTTGGCTTAGAAAAAAATCAGTGTGCAACACAGTTTGACTGACTTTGACAAGATTTCAGAAGCCAGAAAAAATATTCTGATCAAGCTAAAGCATAAAAAGAGATATTAAAAATAAACATTCCAGTCATTACCAGAAAATTAATTAGAAAAAATCATTGCTTTAATAGAGAAATAGCATTTCTAGCTTTTAAAGGAAAACTTTAGAAAATTTTATAATATCTAAGAAACAGTCAGAAATAGATTTTGGATGAAAGAGAAATTAATTTGATACCTTTGGTGTTTACTTTGTGGAGATAAGTACATAATATTTTGCAAGCAACAGCAATAAAGAAGTATACTGTTAGATAAACTATTTAAATGTATCTCTTTATAATGTTTTAATATATATGTTTGCATTTGTGCATAAGTGTTGCTATAAAATAAAATAAGACATATCTTGGCTGATTTACAGGCAAATACTCAAGAGTGAGAGCCGGATGTGAACGGGACAAAACCCCATCATAAAATGACCATTATCTTCATTTACAAATGTTCCTGACACACGTGTTCCGGTCGAAAAATAGAATAATATTTAAAGTGTTCTATTTTTCGTCCAATAAAAATGCTTCCCTCCTAATTATACTTGCTTCGTTTTTCGAGCCTGTTAAGCCATAAAAAAACGCTATAAAAGGGGTCACACGGAAGTTCAACAGGCAGTCCACAGGTGCCCAGGGTAGAGACCTGTCACGGTCAACAGCTGACAGCAGGGGAGCATCAACCACCGTCAACATGTGTGAACTACTATGAGAGATCGACCTAGATCCGAAGCCGGATTATGAACTATACCACAAGGTAGCTGTCCCAAACCCACTCGTTCCTGTTGAAATAAACCACGTAAATGTATTTCTGCTGTTGTCGTATTTCTTTCTTGCAACCATACGCTTGTCTATAACAGTGTGAATAAGTGAGGTGCTAATAAATTCTTGGCTCAACTTAGAAATCCTTTCAAAATAGTTTCTGATGTTTGTTCATTTGGTCATGTTTTGAGAAAGAGGTTGAACGTAGAACTTTTCAGCAATTCTTCATGTAAATATACATTTGGGCAGCAACCTTTCCTTCAAATAAGTTTCATTGAATACGCCAGACAAGAAAAATTTGTTGGATTTTTATTTAGTTTTTCTAACTGAACGCGCCTCTGTGGCCAAATTGGTAAAGGCATGTCAAGCTAAATGACGGTTCTGTATAGGATACAGGTTCGAAGCCTGTCAGCGGATGAATATTTTCTGTGAAAATTTCTTGGACATTCAGGCTGGTAAATGTTGTCTAATACTGTTTATTATAAACAGAACATTTACTTAAATATTTGTATCTATAAAAAGAATGTATAAACATAAAAGTGTCTTAAAATCATTGTCGAACTTTGTCCATTTCATAATGTGTGATGTCATTTGTTTATATTTGATACACCATGAGCAGATATGAATGTACGTGAGAGATTCATGGAAGATTGACGTTTAAATACAGTAAATTTGGCCTTGCTAACTGAACATGCCTCTGTGGACAAATCGGTAAAGGCACGTCAAGCTAGATGATGGTTCCGTATAGGATACAGGTTCGAATCCTGTTGGAGGATGAATATTTTCTGTGAAAGGCCAGTAAATGTTGTTTAATACCGTTCATTATAAACAGAGCATTTACTTAAATATTAGTATCTATAAAAAGAATGTATAAACATAAAAATGTCTTAAAATAATTGTCGGACTTTGTCCATTTCATAATATATATATATATATATATATATATATATATATATATATATATATATATATACAGTAGCGTCCAAAACTAAGGGACAAAATTTTAAAACCTAATATTTGTGAGAAATAACAACTGTGAAAAGCTGAAATTTTGACAACTGGTAGTCGTTATCATCCATAATAACATACTAAAATTTGAATCATTTGCAAAGGATAGAAAAAGAATTATAACAATTATTTATTTATTTTCAAAATAGGATCGTCCAAAAGTAAGGGACAAAATTGAGAAAAACAATGCAAACAGTATGCTATATTCAAATTTTTTGATTTCCTCTAAAGAATAAGTCTTACTTAGTCATTTGTAAACGTTGCATCAGCCAGCACCATGGCGAAACGCCAAAAAACTTGATTACTCTGTGAGACAAGCTATTGTGAAGCTACACAAGGAAAAAGCACACCATTAGAGAGATTTCAGAGAAAGTGAAACGTTCCAAGAGTGTTGTAGGTAGGGTTGTTAAATCCTACAATGATACTGGCAAAATAGTTAGTGCTTTTAAAACCGGCAGACCCCGCAAAACTTCGGCAAGAGAAGATCGAATAATGCAGCGTATGTCATTAAAGGACCGTTTTAAGTCTTGCACAGAAATTAAAAGGGTTATGAATAGTACCTCATGTGTTAATGTGTCAAGACAGACTGTTTGTAGACGACT